GCCCAAGTTCACTTTTTATTTATTTTGCAAGTGAGAATAAAGTTGAGGCAAATTCATTTCAAAAGCCAAATAAATATGGAGGTGCATACCATTACTACAAACTCATTACAATATAAAAAGCTCACTTTTGTTTTGTCAATTACAACATTACGAAAAACCCAAGAAAATGGAAATGAATAAAAGAATAAGGGCCATTTGCGCTGCTACTTTTCTGCCTGCGCTGCTACTTTCTGCATGTTGTTATCTCACAACGTACCACCCTTGCCACTTTATTTCTGCACACTCCTCTGCTACACCATAAAGCTCCAAAATCTTCCCTAAAAATATCACCCTGCAACATGACAGATGTCAGTGTTTATAACTCACAGATGAAGAAAATTTTCAGAGCATCAAAATTACCATCAGAGAAACCTTAACATCAATTAAAGAAAAACCAAGACATCAAACAATGAAGTTACGACCTCACTATGTGCCAAGACCTGACCTGCAACCAAGCATAAAAGAGACAAGCACAATCTTGCTACTGAACCAAACAGGCTCCAAATTGTACACAACCGGAAGTGCTTGCGAGCAAAACTCAAAAACAACTTCCACAGCCTGTTCTGCGCATCAATTAAAAACTGCTTTGCCATTATACTAAAACCATATACCACTTTAGCATCATAAAAGCTTTGACCTGCCAACCTGCAAAATCATTTCACTAAACAAAGCTGATTTTTGCTACCATCCAAACCTACACACATGAAAGCACTTCTTAGAAAGAATCCAAAACCATAAACCTTCTGCCCACTGTGCAAAAAAAAGCCATACACAAATGCCAAATCCATGTCCAAAAACAAGACCAGAATCCCAATTCAAATCCCTGCAGAACTTACACCAAAATAAGCCCTTGTACATTCTGCTTTGATCAAAATCCTACGTCAGTTCCCAGACAAACCAGCTGCAACCTTGAACACAAGGTACATCAAATTGCCAAAATCCTATAATGTGACAAAACTCACTCCAACCGAGATTTCTGTCATAAGCTTGCATCATGAATAACCTGCTGAAAAACACCAAAGCTCCATCATACTAAAGGCCAAACTCTGTATCACTGCAATGACAACAACATCCCACAAATCCAGATCATAATTAAACAAGAAAATAGAGGAAGAAAAACAGAGAAACCTGATGAAAAACTTGATATTCTGCACAATGTTCAACATAATTCTTCTCCTTTCACAATAACAACCTATAACTCTCTGCATCTTAAAAATAATTTGCACAAGAGCCTGCTTCATTCAGTTCACAAAACACCAAATTTTACTGTGATGAAAGGGATGTAACACTGCAGCACATCAAACAAGAAAAGAGATTAATGAATAAACCGGGGATTGTTTTTAAGGAGGAGAAGGATAGAGAAATAAGGGGGAGGATTCACCAACTCATCTTTTTCCAGAAAACTTTAAAAGCGGCTATCTATAAACAGACCTTCAACTACTCCATGTGCTACAAATCTTGTTCCTTCTACCACACCACCAACAAAATCCAGCAAACTCACCAGTTCCTGTTACAAATCCTGTTACAGCTCCTGTAACGGTTCCCGTGAGTTTCTTATCCACCACCTTCATCTTTTTTGTTTCAACCAGATAGATACCATACAACCACAAGCCTACTCAACCTCTTGCTACATGCCATCAAAACCGAAACAGAACAGGGGAATTTAAAAAGATCAGAAAAAAACTTCCCTCGCCTTTCTCACTGAACCTGTAACAAAACAATAACTCGTGAACCTACTCCAAGTCACAAATACCAAAGCAAATGAGATGAAATGAGTAGAAGTTTGAAAATCAAAACAAGAGTTGAGTTGAAGAAGTAAACCAGATACAAAATGAACCACAAATTTGTACCAGACAAGGTTACTCTGTTAAATCCTCATCCTTTTGCATCGCGAAAAAGAAGTGTTCAACCTGAAACGGCGGAAACAGAGCAAGAAATTCCAGAGAAGAAGGGAACACGAGCTGAAGAAGTAAGGGAAGATTCGTGCTTACCTGAAACGGAAACCGCAGCCGGAGTCGGAGTTCGACGGACTAGCTCCGATTACGTGAGTATTCCATTTTTTTTCTTCAACTTCTTGATACTACTTTGTTCCTTGTGATATGCTGATGCAAAGCCCTTTATCCATTCTTCAAACTCTGTTCATTTGAAATTTAAATCGATTTTTGGTAGTTTAGGGTTTATAACTCTTTTATAGTTTAATCTGTCTTGGCTGGAGTTTTGAGGGTTGTGAAACCGGATTCGTAACGAAGGAGAAGAGACGTTTAGAACGGTACTCATTTTTTCAATTTTGACTACGCTCGCCGGAGACTGTAGCGGGCTGGTGGTTTTGTTTTTACGGCATTGAAGTGAATATGAGATGGAGACGATGGGTAGAGCGTCATTACTATGTTGGATTTTTTTTGGACTTTCAATTTAATTTCTAGCTTGTTTTTCTCTTTATTGATCATTTTCTTTGTTTTAGTTTTTTTTAGTTGATATAATATAAATAAAAAGAAAAAGAAAACAATTCATATTTAGTTTATTTTCTTTAGTTAAATTTTTATATAATTTGTATAATATTAGAAAAACCAAATTTATATTTAATTGTTTTGTTAATTATTCAGTTTCAATATTTGCGCAAATATAAAAAGAAAAAACAATTTTCATCATTTATTTTATTAATATTATTTATTTATTTATTTACTTATTTAGTTATTTGAATAATATCTAAAAATGTAAAAAATATGTCATGATTTATTAATCATTTTAAATATTTTTATTTAATATTGATTAATTAAATTATTAATTAATATTATTAAATTTATATTTAAATTAATTAATAATTACCTTGTCACCTGATTTTACGTCATGACTTGTCCGTTTTCATGTTTTTGGGCCTGTCCTCTCTGGTCACGATGTTTTTTCCGTGAATGTTTACCTTTACCATAGGACTTGGAGTCGTCGTGCTCTATTTAGTCGTCCCGCCGCGGACATTCCCTTCCTTACTAATTTACCTTTAGTTTAGAGTCACCGCACTCTATGTAGGTGTCTCGCCGCAGACATTTACTTTCCCCCTAGAACCTTGACCACAGTCAAGAGTTCCTCACTCCTAGTTGGGGGAACTACGGTTGCTCTGATTTCATTCCTGTCAGGATACGTAGGCACGAGATGCGATGTCTTGGCGTTTTCCCTTAGCAAGCAACTTAGCATACCACAAATACTAACAAGAGGTTCCTGTAGAGTATTACAGATACTTAGGATGCTAACTCCTTCCCTAGGTATAACCAACCCTCGAACCTTAGATCTCTAGCTTCGTTGTTACGTAGCGCACTTAGGGTTTTCTTCGATTTTTACCCTTTCCTTTGGATAAATCAAAGCTCGGTGGTGAACTTCATGATTTGTGATTCAAGTTAATTTAATAGCTTGATATCCGATTCTCACCGCAACAATGAGTATTTTAGTAATATTTTCTTTGACTTTGTAATTATCTTAGCGGGTAATATTTTTAAATCATTTTCAATATACAGGATTGTGGAGAGACACTATAGGTTGAACAACTCTAGAAAAAAGCTCGCGTTTTGTGAGCCCAAGGTAAATGAATTAATTATGACATTCACTTATCTGTATTCATGAAATATTTAAATTTGTAGATTAAGAAACAAGCAGATGGATACAGGTAAGGGTACTATGTAATAAAACACATGTTTAACATCGTCTCTGTCAACATTGTTGATTCGTGGGATCAGGTATATATAAAGTCATGAAATATTTTCAATAACATATAAATTTCCTACTATAATTCAAATCACATGATATTCAATTGTTTTCACTTGCTTATTTAGATATTTAACGATAGGACACCTTTCTCTCCCGAAGACTTAGACGACGTTCGTAGACGTTGGGTTTTTATTTTCAATGAGTTAGTTGAAACGAGAGGTGGTACTGTATGACTTCGTCTTTGATAGTTGTAAATATATTTTTATTGATTAATTTGATATTTTGTAAAAATATTGAGTAATATATATGAAAACAAATACAGGTCTATAATATATGGAAAAAAAAGTATTTAATTATGGTTATTTATTTCCACCATTGTTATAGATATAGCGCAAAATATTATAAACCATACAATCACTGAGTTTTGAATCCGTGACTTTTCTCTTTATATCACGACGGTTGTATATTTTGATCGTTGCGATATATAGTGTTCTATCTAGTTTATCACAACGGTCCTACGTCTGTGGTGAAAAACATCATATATATATATATATATATATATATATATATATATATATATATATATATATATATATATATATATATATATATATATATATATATATATATATATATATATATATAATCTTACCTTACTTAACAGCGGTTGATTGAACCTAATTGTATTCATTTTCCAACCATTATTATATGTGTTTTTCGTAGTAGTGAAATATTTTTTGTGGATTTTAAAATAGAATATCATTTCTTAAATGTATCGATTAATAAGGATTGATTTCTTTTTAATGAATTTTTGTAAAGTTGTTTTTGTTAATTGATTCAGTTAAACTATGAAATTAGTTACATTAGATTTGTTTTGTGAGGAGGGGCTATCCTCATTGAACAACATCATATTAGAGAAAAAGAACCATGAAATTAAATTAGATATTATGAATTTTGTCTCAATTTGTCTTGTAATTATTCTCTTAATATTTGTCTTGTTGTATTTGAAGCAAAGTCCTGTATGTATCCTTTATCCTATTTATCAGTATTCTTTGGTTAAAAAATGGGCCAACATATAAAACATATGCAACTCAAACTCCAATACTTTCATTAAAAGATTAATGAAAACATACATAGAAAGTACAGACCCACACACATGCATATATTATTTCTGAAATATTCAAATGTCTAAGAAATCCAAACATAGTTGGAAACAATTTTATTTAAGTAGAGAGATCATGCATGAATGATTTTTGCTGTACATATTAAGTGAAAACCGCCGAAGGCATCTTCAACATGTTTGAGAATTCAGTGCTAAGAGCATTCTTGAATGAGACTCGTGCATCAGAGCTAGAGTCAAAACATACACCATACTTATTAGGATCCGAACTTTGATAGAGAGCGCAAAAGTTTCCACTTCCCTTTCTTGTGCAGTCCGCATGAGATTTGCATAAGTTAGGATGTTGTTCCACCATCTTAGTAACAAATGATTCTGTATTGCATATACCAGGCACACGAGGAAGAATAGGAACTGAGTATACACATTGACACCCATTACCACATGGTGTATCTTTTTCACAAAACGCTAAACATTTATCTGGTTCTTTAAAAAATGCTTCTGCATTCATCTTCTTTGTCGGAAACATTAATACTGCCAATGATAATTTCAAGATATAATTAATATGTATAAGCACAATACTATAAGTCATAATCAGAGTCGTCTTTGAGAGCGTGTAAAACGATCTATAGCACAGGATCTCACAATTATTTCATAAATAAAATAGGGCAAACATAATTTCAATACACATATTTCATGGTTAAATAGGGTTTCTTAAAAAATTTAATATAAAAACGAAACTTACTTCAGCTTCTTACACATAGTCTCTTAAAAATTTAAGACGACTCTGAATCAAATATACACGACAAAGTTTGATGCAGTAATTTAATTATGTGTGTTAAAAATAATTCAACAATTGTTTTAACATTAATACTCTTAATTAGAGATACTTATATGGATCTTATACTTTATAATCAATACATAAAGTATAATAAAAATAGAAGACATACCTAATGTGGCAACTAGAAAGAGAGGCAAAAGAGAGATCTTAACATAAGCCATGATGCTTGACTGAATAGAAAGAACTAGGAAATAAGTTGGTGTTATATTGTGTTGTGTTGCATTAGGTTCTTTCTTACATGTATTAATTTATAGGCAAAAACTTGTGTGTGTGTGCCACATTTTCCACCACACATTTCGTTTCACTTATAAAAAACTCTTTTAAACTAATTATATTTAAAAAAAAATACTTTCCTTTTTCAGAAAAGAAATAAACTTTTTGGAAAAATTATTTCTTTTTCATTTACAAAAACAATTTTTTTAAGCATTTCCAATTATGTGGTTCAGATATTTTTAAACAGTTTAAATTTTTTTCATTAAATATAATTCAATTTGGATATATGGTTCAGTTTATACTCTATTTGTAGTTAATATAGAACTTAATTTTTTTTCAATAGTTGAAGCAAGAAACATGAGCTTAATAAAACATATTCTTCCCTAATGGCTTCATAGGACTGTTGTGTCTTAAATTTTGGGTCTGTGAATTGGCTGTCATGGTCCCATGGGGCATCACGTATTAAACCATTTGATTGGACCATATTTGTAACACAATTTGGCTCATATTTTAACTTACTATAAAACTATCATCCTTTTATTCACTGTTAAAGAAAAGAACTACTATATACCAAAAGTTTTTCAACTAAAATAAAATTTTGATTGATAAAGAGTATATTAACATTATAATTATATACAAATTAATGCATATAAATATTATTGATATTGAATTTAGTTGAAGAAGAGAAAACTTTCTCATACCTTTTTAAGATATCTTCTTCCCTAGAGACTTCATTGCATTATTTCATTCTTAATTACATGTATTAATTTATTTTCTTAAAAGTAAATAGTAATATTGTGATGCTCCAATTCTCAAGCTATAAAGTTAACCTTGCTAACATAGATATTTAGGAATGTTCATGGACGGTTAATTTCTATAACCAATTCGTAATCATAAATAATTTATATGTTATAATCGGTTATTAAAACCAATTGTCATAACCAAATATGGATCGGTTAAAACCATACTAATAATTAACTGGTTTTTAATAACCGAATTTAGATATAGATATAAATAATTTAAATAACTGATTTATTTGAACAATTTCTCATAGAAATGGTATTGAAGCAAGAAAGACGAGCTAGCTACCTTCTGATTATAATTATTGAAGCATGAAACACGAGCTTTTTAAGACATCTTCTTCCCTAGGGGCTTCATTGCATTGTCGTTGTCAATTAGCTGCAGTTGTCCTATGGGTCATCACGTATTAAACCATTTGATTGCTCATATTTCTTCCATGGATAGCTTATATTGAAGTTCAAGTAACTACTTTTATATATATATATATATATATATATATATATATATATATATATATATATATATATATATATATATATATATATATATATATATATATAGCAAAATTATATTAATCGAGTAAAAAGTACTTGAACCAATAAGATAATTAATTTCAACCCCTCTGTAAACAATCCACATGGTTGATACACTAATTAGAAAAGTCAAACTCAAACTTAGTTTAGTGTCTAGCTACAAACCATATACAAGTACAAATTTAAGTGAGTGTGATTGAAAAATTGTTTGACGACATTTTGACTTAGCGTTTTTCTATTACGCGATTTTTAAAAAGTTTGATTTTGTTTCTGATTTTAGATTGTGTAATTCAATAATGGTTGATTTATTGAAGGTTCTTCATATTTGTTTTGAAGAATAAAGTATTTTAAGATTCCTGAGTGTCTTTCTAATGTTAGAAGGATAAAGTATTTGATTGTCATTCTGATTTATCACGCCACATATAGTTGTTATTTTGCAAACAATTGGTAGAATGTTTGAGTGAAAGTGACAAGGGTCTTATATTTAGAGGGAAATTGGTTTAAATTTGTGGATAGTATAAGGAAAAGGCAATGAACTAGGAGAGTTTATATGAGAATGTCGTATACTATTGATTACTGAATTATGGAATTTTCTTTCATTGGGCTGATGTTCTCCAAACATATGCGACATTACACTAAACTGGATTAAAATTATTTTACTTATTTATTTGTTCATCGGTCCTTTTAAATCATATTGTCTCACATTGTATCAATATTTTGTGTGACATCTTATCACTGACCGAGCATAATTTAAATTGGCACCATAAATACCCTAATCTGGTTGGATGTTTTCCAGGGTATCTATTATGTTCGAAAGAAGGAAGATTTGTTAATCGACCACCGATTGTTGATGATACTAATTATGACTATTGGAAGGCTCACATGACCAGTTTTCTTAAGTTTGTGGATAACAAGATCTAGGAAGCGGCCACGGATAAATAAACTTCTCTGATGATTAAAGGCGAAGACAATTTAGAATCTGTTAATCCTAAAAAGATCAGACTCCTGTTGAAGATCAAGCTACACTTGGAAACAATTGTGCTCTTAATGCTATTTATAATGTAGTTAAAAAATATCTTCAGGGCCATTAATACTTACACTAGTGCTAAAGATGTTTGGAAAAACCTTGAAGTAACTCATGAAGGTACCTCAAAAGTTTGTATGTTAATACTTTAACTCCTTACAATAAAATTTGAAAACTTGAGAATGCATGAGGATGCAAATATTTATGAATTCAATGTTTACCTAAGTGACATTGCATATAATTCCTTTGTTCTTGGTAAAAATATGTTTGACGAAAACCTTGTAAGAAAAAATCTAAGATTTTTACCCAAAAGGATTGACATGAAGCTTATAATCATTGAAGAAGCTCAAAACATTTCTACTATGATACATGGTGAACCAATTGGATCCGTACTCACATTTGAAACTATCGTTTTTCAAACTCCCCCAAATCATCCCCTATTGTGTGTGGTCACATTCTCGACAAGTGGCATCAGGGCTTAACTTTTATTCAAAAAATAATCATCTCAGAAGGAGGATGACTTCGAACACCATTTCTAACAAAATAACTTTTCTAAACACACATCCACCATTTAATGGTGATATGTATTAGACAAATGACTTTAACCACAAGAGAGGGCGGGGGTGAATTGTGGTATTTAAAATTCGCGATTAATTTAATATTTCTTTCGATCAAACTTATATTTGTGTTAGTAGTTTCTTTAGAGTAAATAGCAGCAGAAATAAAATAATAGAAATAAATAGAATAAATTAAAGAGGATAAGATTAGAGAGATTGCACCAGAGAGTTATACATGTTTGACCAAACGATAGTCTAGTCAAGTCCCCAAGAGATCTTTTTTAGAGTTTGACTATAAACTTTGAGATTTTGAAGGTTATGCCCACAAATCTTAATACAATGTGATCTTGAGATTTTTACAGGCTTATCCCCAACCAAAGATATATTTTACCACAGATTAAGCTATCGAACCTTCTTAGAGATTTTCAAGCTGATCTCAATAACCAAAAACATGACTTTTTCCAGCAAAGCTCAATAAACAAAAAACATAGATTTTATGATTGGATTATCTCATGAACCAAACTTAATCTTCTCAAGAGTATTCCACTCCCAATAGTTTAACAAACAACATTACCACTTAAAAACTCTTCCTCACAAGCAAAGTTTCACTCAAAAGTACTATGACAATTTTAAATGAAAAAGAAATATTTCCAAAGAGAGAACGATAAAAAATAAAGAGATAAACTCTTAAGAAAATGTAAAGCCTTGGAAAGTGAGATGAAATGAAGAGGTGACAAGCCTCCTTTATGTAGGAGTTGTAAAATCATAAAAGAAAATAATCTAGGTGCAAAAGTGATGACCCAATTGATTAGGAATATTAAATATAGAGTTATTGCAAGTCATTCAAATGATGTCCTAATCGCTTGGTTAAATGTTTGGACCTTCTCCAATCGAATGACTTAATGCTCTAATTGATAGGCTGGCTCAGAAAAATTTTCCCAATCGATTGACTTAAGTCCCCATTAGATTGGTTAGTTTAAAAAATCTTTGGAAAGAGATTGAACATCTTCCTAATCCCTTAGCTTATCCTAGAAACTAATTTTTAAGATAAAAATATTTCGAAAAGGATTTTTAAGTTTTGTGTGTGTGTGTGTGTGTGTGTGTGTGTGTGTGTGTGTGTGTGTGTGTGTGTGTGTGTGTGTGTGTGTGTGTGTGTGTGTGTGTGTGTGTGTGTGTGTGTGTGTGTGTGTGTGTGTGTGTTTGTGATTTCCTTAGTACTTAAGAGTTACTTCCTTATTTTTACAAAATTTTAGTAGTTCAAACAGACACGATCTGATGAGCTTTCACACTTCATCTCTTTTATTTTTCTGAGGCTTCCAAGATTTTTATCAAATACATTAATCATATAAGCACTTGAATCTTGAGTCTCTTTATTTTTATGAGGCATGAGATATTTCTCTAGTTAGCCAAGAAAGTTCTAAGAGAGGGGTATTACTGGCCGATCATGATCCAAGATCCCAAGGTGTTTGTGAAAAAATGTGACCAATATTAAAGGCATGGTGGTGTTTTCAACGCCCCTACTACAAAACTACACATATTAACATCACCATGGTCGTTTATGCAATGAGGAATATGTATATCCTCAAACCCTATGCTCCTTCATTGGACAACTTTTGTATCTTATTGTTGTTGTAGATTATTTTATTAAATGAATTGAAGTTGAGTTATTGGATAACATCATTGGGGCAAACATCGAAAAATTCTTTAACATGAACATTGTGGCTATGTTCGGAGTGCCCTAAGCTGCTGTTACAGACAATGAGACACAATTAATTGACAAAAGACTAAAAAGTCTCCTAGAAATGTTAAAAATGAGGCAACATTTTACGTCAGTAGAGCATACATAAACAAACGGGAATGCCAAGGCTGCAAATTAGGTAAGAGTCATAGGTTTGAAGTGAAGGTCAAAATAAGCCAAAGGCAATTGGGTCTACTGTATCGCGCCCCAACTATTTGGCACAAAAGGTTGCTCAAATTCATCTGCCATTAATGTTGTTTATTAAGGGATAATGATGGGGACTAAGAGTAATAGTTGCATGTTTGCTTGCATTTTTTTGTGTGTGTTTTTGGTATTTCTATGTAATCCTACCTTGTTCTCCTTAATGACATCTTTTTTTTTTGTTAAATGCTTATGTTTCCCTTTAACGATTTATGTGCTTGATTCCTTCCATATTTGTTTATTTGTTTATTTTCTCACCGTTTTTTATAATGTCAAAGAGGTAGAAGTATTTCCTCATGGGGGTGTATGGATGTCAGGGGGTTCTTAACCACTCCAATTAATCACCTCTTTTATTTTTTTTATCCACCTCCCTAAGATATGTGTTGTCATCATCAAAAAGGGGAAGAATATGGATCTATGTACTTACAGGTATGAAGTCTATGGCGGTCTGTTTCCTTCTAATGTTGAAAAAGGTCTTAAGAGAAGCCATAATCACTCATGATGCCTCTTAAGAGAAGTATTCATTAGTCTTGTTGTCTCTAAAGAGAATTTTTCATCAGTATTGTTGTTCAAGGCTTGTTTACTCAAATGATATCATCAGATATAATGATCAATTGATGGTGCTTTATATGTTAAGAAAGTGATTGTGATTTATTTGTGGATCAAGTGATGGTACTTAATATGGTGCTCAAGTGATGGTTCTTGAAGATCAAAAGGTCATTTGTTGCAATGATAAAGTTGTGTTACTACAAAATTTTCTAAAGATCATTTGATGCAATGATTAAGTGAATATTCTGGGTGATCAATTTGTGTCAATCAAGTTGTGGTGATGAAGTTGTGGTACTTGGAGATCTAGTTATTTTTCTATCTATGGGAGACAACACTTTATGTCAAGAGATGTTCGGTGAAGTCAACAAAGATCTCTGATCAAGTGGTTTGTCTGATGATGAAGGTTTTCATGAAGAGTTATATAAATCCTCATTAACAGAAGATTCAAGGTTTCAGTTAAGTGCTAAAGTCAAAGATAATGTGGCAAGGAACTAGAAGTTGCATTTCTATTAAAGAAAGGAAATGTTAAAACTTGTCGTGACTGTACTGAGGGATCAGTGTCTTTAAAGGTATAAGACTAACTCTCAATTTTTTCAAGGAAAACACACACATACACACACACACACACACACACACAATTTCAACATTTGAAAATCCTCTTTTATTTTATTAAAAACCTAAAAATGTTTTGAAAACCTAGCTAATTGATTAGGTAACTGTCTGATCAATTAAAAGCATGTTTTATGAAATGTTAATTGATTATACCTAAAAGGTAGTCAATTATTATACTTTGTGATGCCTAAAATTGATTGTAGCAGTCTCTTAATGATTATCAATGGCTATAAATCAAAACTTTCCATTTTGGGGTGAAATAATTGATTATTCCCTTAGAATAATTGATTATGAGCATTGAAAAACCCATGGATTGTTTTTATATTTGAGCCACCTTTTGTACTACACATAGATGTCTCCTTTCTAATTTATAACACACTAGACAACTTATTTTAAGATAGATTTCTCTCAGTTCCTCTATGTTTTTAATTTCTCAGATTTGTCTTGTGTTTTTGAGAGTGAAATCTTTATATTTGTGAAGTAGTCTAGTATAGTGTAAGGGCATAATTGTAATTCTTCATTAGGAGAAATTTATTTTGGTTGTGAGGTAAACCAAGTAAAACATATATTTGGTTAGAGAGTTCTTCGCTATTAAAACTCTCAGCCAATTCATAAGTTTAACCAGCTGTTAAAAGCTCTCAACCCGTTCGTAAGCTTAATATGCTTATAAAAAGTTGTTAGTTGGTTGTGGATATCTCCTTAGTGAAAACTCTATTTTGTCAAGGAAGTTAGCAATTGAAAAACTAAATTGTATAAGTAGGTTCATGGACATATTAAGTCAAAAGCTTTCAACATAGTAAAAACTTTCAAAAAAATTTTAGAGAGAGGACTAAGTCACTTCATTAGACCGAACTTCTATAATTATGGTGTTTCTCTCCCATCCCTTAACCCTTTACATTCCAACCATTAATTTCCGTTGTAGTTTCATTTTTTTATTTTTGCTGCTTTTATTCTTCTTATTTTGTAAAAGATTTTTAAACTCCAATTTTTTAAAGATTTTATTTTTAAAATGAATTTTAAAACCCATCCTTGAATTAGTTCTTCAAAATCTTCCATCCCCTATCACCTAACTCAGTCAAAACAAAGACTCAAAATGCATCCTTGAAGTGGAAAAAAAATTACTTACAAAAGGGAATATGCTTTGAAGAATCACTTCAACCTACATATACAAAGATGATAAGAAAATTTTCTAAAATTCAATATATTTAGTTCAAGAACATATTGTACACGAGAGAATAATTCCCTACATATCATATGACTAAGCATTAATAACACTAAACTAGAATTTAATAACATTAATTGAATTATACCTACAATCAATAACACATCAACAATATACTTTCAAATAATCAATTTTCGTATGTTTTACTTTCAAATATAATAGATTATTTTCATTCTGAAATATTAATTTTCAACATATAATACTTTCTATAAAATATACGTATTACTTTATTGCATTTTTAATGTTAATATTAATAATTTTTTATCATTATAATTTGAATAAATAAAAACAAACCGATTCCCTATTATTATTTTTTATTTAATTAGTATTAGGACTATATGAGTTGAACTTCAGTCTAAAATCATGAACTAGATTTGGTTTAAATAACTGATTGCGATTCTCTTGATATGGAACATTAACCATAATTGAATAATTTACGGATTTATAACCATAATTAAATAATTCAAATTTATCTTAATGAAATAAATTCCTATTTATCAGCCTACTAAAAAGTTGCACATGTTTAAAAGTTCTAAATTACTCCTATTTTACAACAAAAAAAGCTGTTAGTCAAAAAAAAAAGATTTATTAGTCTTAACTGAATTAAATCTTCAAAATCTATTTAAAGAGAACACTCTAACCTATGTCATTATAGAACCCACAAAATCTCTCTTTTCTTTTAGATTCCTATTCTTTTGCAATCATGCGCCCACCACAAAAAAGAGTAAATTATAAGATTAGAGACAAAGTGGAAGTATGCAGTAAAGAAGAAGGGTTTGTTGGTTCCTACTTTAAAGCTACAATTGTTTCGTGTCTTCAAAATGACAAATTTGTGGTTCGTTACGAGAATCTAGTGTTAGATGATGCGTCAGAAGATGGTGCGTCAGAACCTCTCGAAGAAATAATTTATCGAAGAGAGCTTCGTCCATTACCACCACGTGTTCGCAATCCACCCGAATTTCGTTTCAATCAGAAAGTAGATGTTTTTGATAATGATGGTTGGTGGTTAGGAGAAATTACAAGCGAGAAGTTCCGCTTCGAAAATTGTTATTACCATAGGGTGTATTTCAACACTACCGATGAGACGATTTGCTATCCTTGTGATCGGATTAGGGTTCATCATGAATGGATATATGGAGAGTGGATATTGGAAACGTAATTCATCTCGTGACGATTTGATATCCTTGTGATCGGATCGGATTAGGGTTCATCTTGAATGGAGTTTTGGAGAGTGAATGTATTTCATCTCCTCATCATGAGTCATAGTTTATCAAGACTTTAAATCTCTTATATTGTATTTACAAGTTTTAGAAATTAACCTTTTGTTTTATGTATTTTGAAGTAGTAACTAACTACACAAGTTTTAGAATTTATTGTTTTATGATACTTTTCTCCTTTGTTTCTATCCATTCGCTGCTTTCCCTTATCCTTTAATCTGATTTGAATAATGTCTTATTTTATTTTTTTCATAATCCTTATCCATTGACCCTCATAATTTGTACAACGAAGCTTTTCCTTATAGTTGGGAATGTTCTTTTGATGATTGTTTTTCTACTTGCATCTCTTGCTTTTATTTCTCGTGAGCCTTTTAGGCCTTTGCTAGAAAATTCTGCAGGAATACCTGCGAATTTTGCTGCGAAGTCACATTTTCATAATATGTTAAGTAATCTCAAGAAAAATCTGATTTTACTGCTGATTTTCTTTTGTTTTTTTATAGATATTTTTTTTCTTTAATAATAAAAAAAAATTTAGTAAAAAAAAAGTTTAATATATTGAAATATTTCTAAAAATAATACTACTTCCGTTTCTTTTTATAAGAGCCAACTCACTTTTTAGGTTAATTGAATAATCAATTTATTTGATCAATTTATCGACTATATACATTGATTATTTAAAGTCAAGTTGTCTCAAATAAAAAAGAATGGAGGTATAATAGTTTTGGTTTGAATTTTGCGAAAAATTATTTTTAATTTTTAAAGTCAAGTTTATTTTCTTTAAGATATTTTTTTTTTGTATATATTAGTTTTTTTAATACATATTTTAGAGAAAGTAAGTATTTTTGAAAAAAAAATAAGTATTTCTTAGTTGTGAAATTTTTTATGTATTAAAAAATAATTATTTTTCAAAATTAGTATTTGTTTTTAAAATACTTTACTTATTTAATTATTTTATTCAAAGGAAAAAATATGTTTAGGTGGAAACCTTCGGCTTATATGAGATCCACGAAGATAAAGTTAAATTCGCAATCGCTGAAACCTAACTTGTAGTTTTCTTTCTTTCAACCTAGGTAAATTCATCTTATGATCTTCCTAGTTTTAGTTTCACTCATTGTTCTTGACTCGTTGTTCAACAAGCTCATTACATATTCTATTAGTCAACCAAAAATCTTAATCATAATAATTATAATAAATTACAAATCAATTTTGACAATCATAAATTTAAATATTAAAATTAAAATTTATTTAACATAACTTCAATTTTAAAAAAAGTTATTCTTGTATTATTTAAATTGATAAAGACTTATTTTATTTTTTGGCTGATGTTGTTACAACGGTAATTGATATCATTCTTTATTAATTCAATTGTTAAGGTTTATATTGATTTTATTGTTGTTAAATTTGTGGTGTTGAAGTTGAGAATGGAGTCAAGGTGCTGCCCAATTGTGTTGTGTGTTACCTATACGTTAATCCAGTAACTTGAAGTTTGTACTTTGATCCGTTGAACTTGCCAAATTCTCTGGCAAGTGCGGATAATGTTTCTCTCAATTTCTAATTGATATGCATGTGTGAGTTTGAAAATTAATGCAAGTATGAATTGAAAGTCCTTTTTGAAAGTGTCTATTATTTTTATTGATTTGTACTGTTAACTATTATGCAGACTGTTGTGATCACAAACGATACTTTTCAACAAATCAAAATTGAAAAAGAAAGTTTTGGATAATGAAAACGGTTAGAACAAACAGAGAAAGAAGAAAGGATAAAAAAGAAAAGAAGAAGAAGGATTATGGCAAATTGTTTACTACTCATTTTTTCATAAAGGTTTATAAATGATTACAAATGAATATCACAATTGTCCTCACTCAACCACTACAAGAAAAAGTCTATTTTGACAAGTGATTTAGTGACGTGCTAATCACATGGGAAAAAAACATGTTGGCAAGTGATTCAGACCTAAAATCATTTAAATAATAAATTATTCAGACCTAAAATCTTCAACTAAAAATTGAAATTGTAAGAGGGAGGGAAGTTTGAAATTTTAAAAAAATTCAGTTGTGGCGTGTAAAACACGTGGGAACTGAAGATTCAAAAAAAGTCTCTTTATTTCCCCACGTGTGTAACATGTCACAAGTTCCCCACATGCAAATCACTTCCCAAAACTATAAATAAAAAATATCTCAGCTTTGTGACAGGATTACCACGTCGCAACAAACAAGACATAATTGCATTTTAAATTGGGAAATGTTCCGACTTGGGAATCACGTGGGTAACGCACAGGGAATCCCAAGTCGCAAATGCCCAAGATGATTGTTGGTTCCGACGTGGGTACCTTTCCACGTGTTCACCACGTCACAAGACTCCCTATATATTAATTCACAAAATTTTCTTTCAGCAACATCTCATTCCATTTCTTTGTTGCTTTCTTCTTCCTTCTCCCCCAATTTTCTTCCTTCTTCCATTACCATTGTCTCCATCACAACTCCATTTTCAAAGAAAATTTCACAAAAAATTTAAGGTGATTGGTCTATAGGTTGTTTTTGTGAATATTTTACCGTTTATTTTATGTTTATCTAATTATTAATTATTGATTTTTTTTTCAGATCTAGGATTTAAGAAGTTCAATTGGAAGTTTTGATAGAGTTAGCACACTGAGGTATTTAAGCATTTCAATTAGTTTATTTTTGAGATTTTGGTGATATATGATATATAATTTTAGAAGAAAATTTTAGATTTTTTGTTGATATATTATTGTGTTGTGTTGTTGTTGATACATTATTTTGTTGATATATTATAAAATTTTAGAATATTTCTGTTGTTGTTGATATTTTTTTGTTGATATTTTATAAATATTATTTTTGTTTATTGCGTTGTTGTTGTTGTTGAAAGAAAAAAATAAAAATAATTTGTAGTAAAATATATATTTTTAGAATATATATATTTCAAATTAAAAACATAATAATTTATATAAACAGAATATTTATTAGAAACAAATTAAATATGTAATATATTTTTTATTTTTAAAAACAGAATATTTAGTATGTCAGATAAAGTAGAATTTTAAAAAAAAAATTAGTAAACAATATTGTAAATAGAAAAAATTAAAAGATATTTTTTACAAAACATAAAGAATATGTATTATATTTAAAATGTGTTATTTTTAAATGTATTTTTTTTAAAGTATGTTTATTAAAAAAATAATGAATATGTATTATATATATTTTAAATGTGTTATTTTTAGTAAATATAATGAATTTTATAATGTATTATATATATTATAGAATATTATATTATTGAATAGTTATTATATTTTAGTAAACATAATATATATTATTTTAGAAAAACATATTTTTTTTAAATAATGAATATATATTATATGTTAAATATATTATTATTAATAAATAAATTATATATTATATTTTAGAATATTATATTTTGAGAATATATTGTATATTTTAGTAAATATAATTTATAATATTTTAGTGAACATATTTTATTAGGTTGGTGTCGAAATAGAAAAAATAGATTTAAATTACATATTTTATTAAGATGATGTATAACGATAGTACAAATTACATATATTTTGTTAATGTATATTATTTTAATTTTTTAAATTTTATAGTTAATATTTAATATTTATTTTAATTTTATAGCTGTTTTTAGTTTATATTTATTTTTATTTTTTTATTATTAAATTTTATAGTGAAGTGCAAACAATGTCACTATTATAAAACATATTTTTGTTGTGGCATGTATATCACGTCTGTGAAAATTACATGGGAACCAATTTAACTAGTGTCAGAATTAACGTGCAAAGTTATTGGGTCCCCACGTGAAAACCAAGTCACAAATTAGTGACGTAGGAATCACATGGGAACCAAATTTAGTTGGTGTCAGGCAGGCTCTTCGATTTTAAGATTCGAAGGGAAGAAGAAAAAAGGAACGAAAAAAAATATAAGTTGATAAGTAAAAATAAAATTCTGAAATATTTTGTTCCAATTCATTTTATATAGTACAGTAATAATTCATGGTCAAGGTAGTTTCCCACATGAATATCACGTCACTAATTAGTGACTTGGTTTTCACGTGGGAAGATTTTCTCCTGATTTTGTTATTTGCGACGTGGGAACTATGTCACAACTTTGTGACGTGTTTTCCACGTGGGAACATGTTCCCACCATTACATTTCCGGCGTGGTTTACCCACGTCGCAAAAGTTGGTTAGTGAAGTGGTTTTTGAGTTTGTGCCGTGAAAATCACTTGGGAAAATGCAATGTTTCTTGTAGTGAACAATCTGAGTGATCTAGTCTATATATAGACTAACTAGATAACTTGCAATCCAAGCTAACTAAACAATTGAATCCATAACAGAAGGCTCAATTCGACAAACATTTCGACAATGCATATTAGAACAGACTTCGACTACAATATGTATCCTTCGACCACAACATGCGACCAATCTTCGACTTCATGTTTGTCTCCTGTCGAAATACATGAAAGTTATTCCTCGACAAAGCTTGAGTTCGACCCAAAAATCTCACAAATCTCCACCTTAGATCTAACTCAAAAAATATGGAATCAACTAGCTTTATCAACTACATACAGTGGAAAAACTTGCAACTGGGCAACGTCTTGTTAATCTTATCGGCAGCATTGTCTTCAGCCGAAACCTTCAGCACTTGGACTTCACCACGCTCGATTATCTCTCTGACGAAGTGCAACCTCACATCGATGTACTTAGTTCACTCATGATAGGCTGAATTCTTCGACATGTGTATTGCACTTTGACTATCACATTTAACAATGATACTTCAACCTTGAAGTTTCAGCTTCATTGCAAAATCTTCAAGCCACAATGCTTCTTTCACATCTTCAGTGAGGGTAATATATTCTGGTTTAGTGGTTGGTAAGGCAGCAACCTTCTGAAGCGTTACTTTCAAACTAAT